TATATATATATATATATATATATATATATATATATATATATTTATATATTTAAAATTTTTTATCACATTTTAGAGTCTATAAATACTATTCATATGTATTATATAAGAATAATAATAATAATAATAATAAAATAAATAAATAATAATAATTCATATGTATTATATTTCCTATGTATACAACATTCAAAACCACATATAAAACACATTATTCCTCTACTGTACGACTGTGCCATTCCAGTTTCAATTTTCGATTAAGATGGCTTAATTTGTTCTCTCTTTTTTTGGATAGTGTTTATATGATGGTGACATGATTTAGATGGTGGAGGTCTGATCTCATTAAAGCTGTGTCATGTAAGCTTTATTTAATATGGCAAGGCATGATGGTCATGTGAAGACTTATCGACATGTGCACATGGAGACAGTTCATGCCCATCGTTCCTCGATTCTAATCCATGATTACCCATTTCTTTATGGGCTAACCATGTGACTTTTCGAGCACATAAACATGCTTTAAGACACTTTATCTTCTATTTGCTGACGAGGCACAGCACTTATGAAGCATGATGTCGTCGTTAGTGGGCCTCATTTTGTGTGAGCTTTTCTTGGACTTAACATTAAAAGGTTATTTAGGAGTTTAATAAATAATTATATGTACTAATACAATCAGGAGTGACAAATTATATATATATATATATATATATTAAAATAGCAAAATTGATGCTGCCCAGGATCGAACTGGGGACCTTTAGTGTGTAAGACTAACGTGATAACCACTACACCACAGCATCTTATTTGCTGTAATTTCCTTTCCTTATATACAGATACAGATACAGATACAATACAGATACAATACAGATAAAATACAGATAAAATACAGATACAAATACAAATACACACACAAATACACATACACATATTTCTGAGATAGAATTATTTTATGATGGATATGTGAAATTATAGTAAAAAATCATAATATGGGTAGAAAATTAGGTGATTAATATGAATTTAAACAGTTAGTGGTTGGTAAAATGTATTGGAGGAAAACTATATATGTCAAATACATCATCTTATTATTCCTAAATGATATTTCTCTCGTAATGTTATATTATTATTCATCTATCAAATACATCATCTTTTAAGAATTTATCATATATATATATATATTCACATTATTTTCCATCAGGGTACTTTTTTAATTGGGTATGGGATAAATATGAGTAGAAAATTAGGTGATTAATAAGAATTTAAAGATTTAGTGGTTTGTAAAATGTATGGTGACTATTCTTGTAACATTATTTCATTAATTAATGATATTATACATAGAATTAATGATTAATATTATTGTAACATTATAACATTAATTAATAATATGATGCATCGAATACAATTGTTATCTATGGGAGAGACGGGTATTGTGTGACCTCTCGAAACGAATCGTTTGGGAACGGCTCGGAGGTCGGCAGTCGTCCCTCTTCTCGATCGTCGCCGAAAAGCCCCCCCACCCCCCCGACCAATGATCGCTCCCCGATCCTCCTCCTGCGATCACTAACCGTTTCCCTCTGTCGGAGCCGTAGATCGTCGTCGCCCATCCTCCGCCATGAGTTTGGAGCCCTTCAACAGGTACGGTCGCCGGGATCCTGCTTCCTGCCCTTATTTCATGTTCGTTCTGCGATCGATACATCTTACTGGCGGATTAGATCTGTAGGTTGTGCTCCGATGGTGTCGTCTGTGTTGTCTTTCTCGTTTTGTTGCTACTTTGATGCTGTGGTATTGAATCGGTGGAGTTGTTGGGTAGGTTGGTGAAGCTCGCGGCGCGGGCGTTCTACGATGACGTCACCATAAAGGGCGAAAACCAGCCCAAGACTGGGAGAGGCGACAACAGGGGGATGGCTGTTATTGTTCTTGATGCCCTCTCCAGGTTACGAAATCTTGCTTTGATCTGTTTTTCCCCTGGAAGGTTTAAGTTTGACCGCATACCGAAATGATGCCGTTGCGCACTTAATCGTGGACTTCAAGAAAGACAAAACGAAGCAGAATTCGAGGATAATTAATGTACTCTTGAAGAAATGTATTATCTTTTACTTCCGAAAATACTGTTTTTGGTTGAAATTCAATGAATTGAAATTGTAGTACTGGGCAGACATCTTTAGGGCCATTAACGTTAACCATCCAAGTAGGGCATCGTCTGGATTACGTTTTGCCCTTCGTTTTTACTCTTGGTAGCTCCAAAGTTCAGACTCACTACTCTATAATTGTAAGTGTATGTCAAGGGCTTCCTTTGACAAATTAAACAACTGCCGATCAGGTCTTTAAAATTATGCTTCAAGCACTATGATTTCCACTAAAAAAAATTTATTCTTGTATCATCTCTTTTGAATCCCTAGTGTTGATGGTTTACTGCCTCAGGCGCCAGTGGGTTAGAGAGGAAGATTTGGCTAAAGCCTTGAAGTTGCATACTAAACAACTGCGCCGTGCTTTACGTTTTTTTGAAGAAGAGAAGCTAGTTACTAGAGAACATCGGAAAGAGGTCAGTTTTGTGCTGATCAAGCGAATACAATAGCTTGTAATTGTTCCATTGTCATTGTGCATTTAAATGCTTATTAGAATATGTTTTTCTTCCTCTCCTAGTGGCATTAGTTTATGGCATTTTCTACTATGAATATTATTAAATTGTGTATTTGAAATATGAGTATTTTCTAAACACTTGCTAATTTTGTCTCCATCCTAGTGGCAGCAATTAATTGATGCTATCCACTCTTATGATGACTATGAAATTGTGTATGCTAACTAAGTTCGTTTTAGTTTGCTTGTGGCAACACTTTGTCATTCACTTCTAAAAGAGTATGAACATGTGTTATGGGTGAAAACTATCTTTGGTACTTGTTCTGTTGTTCACAAAACCTTTTCCTACTCATAAGAATGCGCTTCAGTTGATAGTTTTCTTTTTTGCGTGGGTAACTTTGTTGTTGTTCGTCACTTTGGGTGCAAGTTTTGGCATCTCATGTCATTTTCTTTCTAGCAATGCCTCCAAATTTTTATATCATATTGTTCCTACTTACATAATATTTTCATAATTTCATCTCAAAAATTATAGAAGCACTAAATGTGAATATTCTCTCTCTATCTTCTCCTCTCTTTTTATCCATTTAAGCTAACAATATTGCCTTTTCCAAATTGTCCCTTGAAGCAGGGTTTGTTGTACCGATGCATATCGCTAGGTACGGGCGGTACGTACCGATCTAATAGGATATCGGTGCGCAGACCGCCCTCTACCGACGGTGCCAGTCACTTGACCCCGTATTAGACGATACGGGGTCTGTATCTGGCAATAACGATCGAAATCCAATCGTTATTGACCTGTGTCGATCGGTAATGGTTGGATTTCGACTGATATCGATTAAGAGTTGAGATTCGCCTATCGAGATCCAATCGTTATTGACTTGTACCGATCGATAATGGTTAGATTTCGACCGATACCGATCAAGAGCTGAGATTCACCTATTTTAAACAGTCAATTTGACCGTTTAAGGCTTTAAAAAGGGATTTTAAACCCTTTCCTCCCTCTTCTTTCAACTCATTTCACTCTCTCAATCTCCTAAACTCTCTCAAACTCTTTTTCACTCATATCTCTCTCTTATTCTCACTTTTTTACTCTCATAAACTCAATAAAGCTACGATTTGAACAGATGCGACAGAGCTTACACGACGTAGACACAAAGCGAAGCTCATCGTATTCATAGCCGTCGTATTATGGAGAATCTTACGACCAACAACAGTACGGTGATAGTTGGTCATACTTCTTCGAGCAACAGTACGATGATCGATCTTACGATACGGAACAATAGATCAGTAGCAAAAGTAGAAGTTCTGACATTCTCTATGCTCCGCACCAATACATGTCACATTCGTCTTTGCCTCAGGAGCCGCTTCAGACACATGTGGATCACGATGATCAAACTACGATTATCACCATATTGATGCACCAATGGTATACGGTGTATTAGTACACTATGTCATGAGATCAATTTCAGGATTGAATCCAACAAATATATCATATTGATATACATATACATGGGATTGAGGACCCCGATCCATTGCTCGTGGAGTCCTGTCGTTCTTTTTGGTGGTAGAACCTGCCAACCCGGTATATCCATCGATTGCTTATTTAATTCATTTGAATCTTAAGGTTTAAATTATATAAAAAAATAATCTAACAATTCAAATAATTTCTTGTAGATAATTCAATATTAACGGAAGGACGATCCATAACGTACCACAAAGCTACTCCTTAAAGCCCGAAAAAGATACGTGATACTATTCTTTCCTAATTTACATTATTTTTGCTAAAATTATACTAATGTTATATTTATCTCTAACTTAAAAATCCTATCCTAACTTTTTTTTCTTCTATTTTTCAGGTATTTTTAGAGGTATTTTTATGATTTTGGGTGTACTATCAGTATGCCTCGGTACATAGTGTACCGAGCAGGGCTTGGTACACCAGTACGGACCGAAATTGCAGTCCTTGCCTTGAAGTTTAATTTGATATGTTCAAGTTGGAGTCAATATATTGCTATCCCTTTTGTGGCTTGTGGAAATGTGGGTTCTCTTTATGAATTGTATGCCTCATCTATGGGCTTTGTGGACTTCAATAGGCATTAATTGGTTTCATACCCAAATTCAAGGGTCTTGTATACAACATTAAAAAAAAAAAAGGTTTGACTGGACCCACTTTCTATGGCTTTGATAGATAAGGGTAATTTTAGTCATCATCAAATTCAAAGCACACTCAGTTTGGTTTTAAACGTTATGATTACTGAGTATATCAGGTGTTTAGTTTTTGCACAGACTTTCTCCTTCTTTGTTGGAGGTAGTTAATATTTTTTTGTTAAGCGGAAAAACACTAGTAGTTGAGGTGGTGAGAATTGTAACACATGGTAATATAATTAGGTAATTACAAAAATAATTATTATCATCTTCTGGTGACATATTTACGGAAACATGTCATACTGTGCCACAAGTTAAACTATCTTTTGGAATTTATTTATGTGTATGTCGTTTATGTAACTGATGACCCATGTCTAGACGGGATTCTACAAGATTGATGAGCTTCTTGTGGATTTGGGAAATTGCTGTTTGAAACATCCGTATATCATCAGCAAGTAGCAATCAATTCTTCATTTGACAAGTAGTAATATTTATGTAGATATTGATGAGAGGCCTAAATGCAGTATTTTAAGAATACAATGTCATCTGCTTGAAGCTTCACAGTTATGCCTCCAACTAGCACATGTTTCCTTGTTGGTGAAGTAATATCAGAAGGCCTAGATACCTACCAAGTTCATACTGTCAGATTATTTTGTACCTCGCCTTCTATTGTCAATGATTTGCATCCAAGGTGATGTCTTGCAGTATTCTCATATAATTTCCGGTTTCCAGCCCGAGATCTGTTATATATATTGTTTTAGACTTTGGAGCTTTGACAATTATTTACTAAATGTTCCATACATAACCGATGAAGATCATAGCATGATGTTTCCGCACATACAGGATTTAAAGCAGTAGATAGTAGATTTTGAATGGTCAAAAGCTGTTGAAGAGCACACTGGCAGTAAATGAATGACTTGCTTTACATTGGATGAGGCAAATCATGTTAGTTTTTTAGTAAGGTGTAAATGGGTCAACCAAGGTTTCTTACTTTGTCATCATGAGACTTGGGCTGTTTGGCAAATGATATGCATTCTAAAATTTCAGCTTATCATGGTTATGCTTTTGTGTTCTTTATATTTCAGCTAATTATGTGACATTTGAGTGTGCAAAAGGAATACATTTCTACAGCTTCTCTCGGATGAAAATTTTGAAGCTCTAAATATTGTCGCCTTTCTTGATTTTTCTTCTTTTTAATTATCCTAACATATATTTGTATTTATTCAGAGTGCCAAAGGTGCAAAAATATTCAATGCTGCAATTGCTGCAACTGGTGATGGTCCACAAGGTACTAAAGAGGGTGATGAGAAGATGAAGATGCATATGCATTCGTACTGCTGTTTAGATTATGCACAGGTCACTACTGACGATCTTGATGTTTCTTCTTCTACTTGTGAACTATCAAAACAATTCTTTTGTCTCAGTAAGTCGTGCACAACCTGGTTATGCATGTCTATTAAGATAGTTTCCTTTTGTTGTTTGGTTTCTTTACTTTCTTCCCCCATGCCCCTCTTCTAGTAGGATTTTACCTTTCCTTTTCACAGTTACCTCATAATCTTTTTATATTTTTGTTTACTATGGCTTGTTTGTTTGTGCTGTAGTGCTAGAATATGTAGTCGCTTAACGCGAGAAAGAAAGTCAAGCAACTAACCAACATCCTAAATCTGTTCATCATGAAAGAAATTATTATAACAGTGCTTCAAGAATACAGAGTTGATAACAAAACTGCGAGAATTTATGATGCATGTGATAATGGAATCATTTTATTTTTACAATTTGATGTTAGATCAAATGACAAAGTAATATGTCTAATCATATATCTATCTCATATGCCATCAAAAGATCAACATCCAAAAGGTAAAAAGATACAAGTTTCCCAGGAAGTATCCACCAATCATCCCCTAAGTATCCAAACATCAACATTTAGCCTTAAGTGTTCTACAAGTATCACATCTCACATATTCATAGCCTTGTTTAATAGTTGTCAGATAAGATCGTAGGGATTTAAGTTCTTCACTTAATTGGGTAAAGGTTTACCCTTGATAAATCATGGTGGAGCCTATATAAGGCATTGTCTGAATTATATGTCAAAAGAAGAACTTTGCCTATTGTGTTATTAGGTTAAGAGTAATGTGAGCACCTTAATTATACAACAGGTAGGATGGAGAGACTAAAAGGTTATATGGTCTTTGTTTCTGAAACTATTTAAAACTTTTTGAAACATTACTTAAGGTTAGACTAAAGTAATGTGAGAAACTATTTAAAACTTATTGTAGTTGAAAATAGATTTACATGAGTATTTAACTGGATCTTTTTTTACCGATTCCTTGAAGGCAATGTTAAGATACTTGTATTTAGGGAAACCTGTGGATGCTTGAGTTTACCTGCCCAATTGTTCATTTATAAGTGTCTTCTTAATTTGGTAAGACAGAATAAAAAGTGTGAGACCTAGTTGGGCTTGCTTGTTGATATTGATTCTGACTTGACATGGACCCATTACTTACCACTTATTTTGTACATGTTATGTGCCTGAAGTGTTGCACCTTTAGTTTTTTTTACTTTCTGATGAACTTTTATGAATACTCTATTGCAGATTTATGATGTTGTTAGATACCGAATGCATCGGATGAAGAAGAAAATAAAGGATGAGTTGGACAGCAGAAATACCATTCAGGAGTACATATGCCCTAATTGTGGGAGAAGGTAACTTGCAATCTTCCTTAGCCAGTACTTCAATTGATATTTTTGAGCTTGCTGTGTTGGTGATTCCTAAATCTTTTCTAGATATTCTGCTTTTGATGCATTACAACTTGTGAGCATGGATGATGAATATTTTCACTGTGAAAATTGCAATGGTGAACTTGTTGCTGAGAGTGACAAGCTTGCTGCTGAAGAAATGGGAGACGGGGATGATAATGCTAGGAGGCGGAGGCGTGAAAAGTTAAAGGACATGCTTCAGAAGATGGAGGTAGCTCTGAAACTTTGTTTACAGTTGAAATTCTATATCAAACAGTATCTTCAGGAGGAAAGTAATTGTGTGTATTAGTATCCGAATAATAAATGAAAAGCTAATGATGGCATTGAGTTGTCATATAAAAGTAGTTTTTTTTTATTAGGCTTGGTGATTAACCAATATCAGCATAAAGTTTTTGAGTAAAGCCCATGGCAATGCTGCCTTACGAGATTGCATGGGCTTTCAGACAAATATTGAAGTGTTCGAAGTTCTTTTTTCTTCTTTTGATATTATTTTACCGGCTCGCTTTATGTGCCTTTTCTTTTATAGATATTTGGTAATTTTACTTCAGGTCACCTATGTGTTTATCTAATATAATGCTTTCAGTTTAGCCTTTGTCCATTTAACTGTCACCTTTTTAGAGAACTGGTTCTAGCACAGGGAAGTAACACCACAAAGTGTTTGTATGTTGTTGCTTTTAAACATACTTTCTTCTAAATAAATTATAATCCTTGTTTGTTATTCTTTTCTAATTATCTTTATGTCAACAGCTTTTAGCGTTTCTATAAGTGCACTTGATTGCTTGTCTTTCAATCATATCTGCAAGCTTTCTCCGAGTAACAGTTGCCGACAATGTCTTGACAATAATCAAATATGTAACTAACATATCTGGACAAACTTAAAGGTATCCAGACATTTGGAGAGCACAGGCCATGCATAAAGGAATTTTAGCGATATGCTCTCTTTTTAAAGAACAGTATAATTCTGGTCTGCTTGATTTTACTTGTACTTTCATATTATTGTCCAGGACTCCATAGGAAAAATATTTTTGCAAATTATGAACTCTGCATCTTGATGTGGTCTATATGATAGCACTTGTTATGTGTGCTTTGATATGAATAGTAGTCAGCATAGCAAAATATTTCCACTCACACTTGACTGTTTCCATGTTTGCTCCGTAGTCGCATTGGTTTAAAGTTGTTGTCATCAGATTTTGAGAGGTCCCTCTTGCCTAAATTATACTTAACTAGAAATTTATCACTAGCTTCATAGTTTTCAACATCAATGAAAAAGGTTCACATGATGTTGACCTTGCAAGTTTTTGATCAAGATTACTTTCTTCTTTTACAAAACCTTAACCAGCTTGATTTCACTTAGATGTCCTTCATACTAGATTCCATACATATCTTTGTGAATCTCTTTGATGGATTTACTATGCCCCATTTAGTTGGGATGATATGTCAAAATTTTGTAATGTCTCCTTTTCGTGAGGTTGATTCTAAATAATGTTGTCCACATGTTGCGGAATTTCAACAAATGCAGGAGCAGCTGAAACCGCTAGCATTACAGCTTGCTAGGGTGAAAGATTTGCCTGCTCCTGAATTTGGAAACCTACAAGCATGGGAAGCTAGGGCACATGCTGCAGCTCAAGCTAGTGGTGATTCTAATGCTAGTGATTCTTCTAAAAATCCCCAAGCACAAGGTTACACTGGCACGCCAATGCCGTTTCTTGGTGAAACAAGGGTATGCAATTTTTGCACTATCAAATCCACCAGAGTTAAACAGTAACTGAAAATTTGAAATCATATTTATAGCTGCCGATCACCTTTATGTATTATCTGTTTACTGCGTTATACTTGGCAGGTCGAAGTTGCTTTATCTGGTGTTGAGGCAAAAGAGGAGATTGAACTTGATACAAAACCTACATCAATGAAGGTTTTACCTCCATGGATGATCAAACAGGGAATGAATCTTACAAAAGAGCAGCGTGGAGAGGTCAAGCCTGATGTCAAAGTGGAGCAAAGTTCCAGTTCTGTTGATGAGAAGAAATCAAATATGGATAAAGAAGATGAAAAGAGTTTACAGGCTAGTACATTGTCTGAGATTTTATAAACTTAGTTTGTGTTGGAATATTTCTTATTAATATCATTGTGACAAAAATCATTTTTGCTGCCTTTTAACTTTTGTAGGATGAATATCTCAAGGCTTATTATGCTGCCCTTGTGAAAAGGCAAGAAGAACAAGAGGCCTCTAAAAAAGTTCAACAAGAGGCAGAACTGCCAATAAATGTTTCTGAAGCACCCTTTGAGCGACTTGTTGGCATGAAATCAAAACGTGAGGATGACAATGACGACGTTGAATGGGAGGAGGAGGCCCCAAGTACAGGTATATTGCCTTTGGCTGATTTTTTTTTTCTGGGTTCTATCAGAAACTAGGGTGCTGGATGTATATTGGATATCTTGTTTTTCTGTGAGTTCATTATTATAGATATTAAAGAACATAAGTAACAATGATTTGAAGCCACTCTGGATCTTTAATCAAATGATCAGATCAGATTCATCCAGGATTCAAGTCCAATTTTGATCAGGGTGTAGAAGTCTCAAACCGAATCCAAGTCAAATAGGAGGGTAGATTATCGCCCCTGAATCTGTACATTATAGTTATGGGATATTTGATTCTTGTACCTCATATCTGTTCTCTTCTGGTTGACCTTTTAAGCTAATAAAGTATGGTCTATATCACCAGAGTTTTGTCAGTGGAGTTAATGAGGGTTCCATGTAAGCTAGGAAATTTTCTTTACAGATGGTAGAGATGTATGGTAAGCTACATTAGCCTGAAAATTTTGAATTTACGATTGGCATATTTCAATGTATGCCATCAGAGCTCTAATCTAGCATGGTCTATGTTCTGATGTTTTTCATTTCTATTTTTAGCTTGCCATCTTCAGTTCTAATCTTTATACGTTTCTTCGGTGACTGGATGTCAAACCATAATGAGTACTCTTAACGATCGCATCAAAACCATTTTGCAGGTAATTCTGGTCAATCATATAGGCTAGCCGATTTGAATGTGGAAGCTGATGCATCGGATCATGACGATGATGAGGATGGTATAGACTGGGAGGAAGGCTGACATCCATCAGAATAATATCTACACAGTAAATGAGCTCCTCCCACGTTGACTAATGATGCTTGGTCTCCATCCTGGTCTGGTTTTGTTTAAAACAATCACACCTCTATATATATATATATATCATTTTTCAGGGAGTTATATACACTATAAGTAAAGCGCTATAAGAATGCAATTCTGAACAGAAGAAATAGACGATTCTATTTTGAACACCTGAGTGGAATAAAGGTCAGCTGGTCAAACTTTCACTTCGGTCTGATGGTGTATATTTTCCTCCTTGTTTTCGGTCAATTACTTGTGAATCTATCAACTCCTTTTTCATGTTTCTGTAGCAAAGAGATGTCAGGCGATGCATCGTCGAAGAGCTTTTGATATCTACTGAGATGCAAAAGGGGGGGGGGGGGGGTTCACTCTGCTGCAATCGTATGGTGGGTCTGTCGATCCTCTCGAGCGCTTCCCATCTTTTCCCATGTCTCTTTATTTTGTAGTAGTTACGAGTTTAAATAAGATTCAAATCTAAATATGGACTGAACATTTAATTTTACTAATTGGAGTTTTATAGTATTTTTTAAATTTTTATTGCATCAAATGACGTCGTACAAAACACTCAAACCTGAGATCTCGCTGGATATTGGGTTAATCGAAGCGAGCATCGATAGGAAGGTAAGTTTATGCTACTATGTTTTGTTCTCCAAATAAGATTATCCTTGTATGACTTGGGTGATCTATGTTCCAATCATAAAAGAAAATTTCTATTTATATGAATAATTAAGCCAATTACCTCAGTTTCTTTCTTGTGACTTAACCAAAGGTTTCAATGTGAGCGGGCTCATAGAAGTTGCTCTTTCTGCTAAGGTGTGGTATAAGGCTAATTACATATTATTCTCGATAGTTAGTTATCTTTAGCATCTCGATTTTTATATTTTAAATAATTATATTGATATTTCTATAATTACAAAAGTGAAACGTCTAGGTTCGTTTATTCTAAGGTCATCGGATTTAACAACGAAAATAAGAAAATAAATGGTAGAAAGATAATTTTAACGTTCAAAACGTTGATGGTAGGTGGCGGATGTAGAGCGGTGACAAAGTGCTTCGTGTCCTAACGTTTGCAACATTGAGTCATCGATGCCAATCTCGGAATTACTAAGACCCTACAACTAGCTCCCTCACTCGCTCTCTAAAACCCTCAACAGCGCCTCAGCCTTGCTCTTCCCCTTGTGCTCATCCCGTTGTCATCGTTGACCAGAGCCCTCACGACTGCCTTCACCCCTGTCCCCTATCGCTTTGTCGCTCTTTACTATGTTCGATAGCATAGTCGTAGCGTTTTGCCTCGCCCTCCCGCTTCTCCCAACCACCAGATCCTCTAGGACGTTGACACCATTCACCCTTCGGAATGCCTTCATACTCTCGTCACATCCTGCCACTCGAGTGATCATAGCCATCGTGTCCCCCACCAACCCCCTTCGCCCATCTTTCACCATTGGTGCGAAAAGAGGTGGCATAATGCCTAGCTCAACGAGGGCGGTGTTGTTGAGTGAGTAAAGGACCAAGCTAAAGAGGAGCTTGAGCATGTCCTTCATGGACGTAAACGACACGTCGTCGAGAGCATCAAGGAGGTCCACGAGGGTGGCGATGAGGGGCTTCTTTGACATGATGATGAAGCGATACGCTTCGATGGAGAGGAGGTTGTAAAGGGTTAGACTACGTGCTGGACATCAATAAGGGAGAGAATGCGGAAGGTGGTGGCGAAGGCATCAAGGATGCTCAAGGTGCACGTGAGCACTTCACAGGCGGAGATGGAGAGGTTGAGGAGGGTAGTAGCTGCATTCTCCTAGGCCTCGACTATGGATGAGTGATGATGGTGATGGTTAAAAGGTGGGCGGCAATGAGAAGCACAACACCGACGTCGATGAGAGGGGTGCGCATCTCTGGGTCCTACTTCGACAAGTGACGGATCTCCACGATGACTTCAATAATGAACTTTGATTCCATGGTGACGAAACATTAACACAGATGTAGAGCCGTGAAAGGATCACAACTACATCGACGTTGATGCTAGTGACACCACCTTTCGTCATCATAAATTAAAATGTTAATTTTTTTTTTTATTATAAAACTGAGCTTAGAAATATAAAAATCGAGATACTAAAAAGTAGCTCACTACCGACGATGAGAGCCAGGTTTATTGAGAGACAGGTTTACTCAACCACATCTTTCCTCATCGCATTGGATCGTGGACTCCACTCTCCTGCGGCCATGTTATCCTTCGCATGGAGACTACCACATCGCTGGACCCGCACGACAAGAGGCACCAACCTGAGCCACACACAGCCGGATAACTGCGTGCACACACTCTCAGCAATCGAGCCATAACATTTAGCAGCATTTCCCTCTCCATTCCATGATTTAAAGCCACAATAATTGACTCCATACCTCCTTCTAACAGAATTCACATCTTAATTCCAGAAAGATCAAGGCTGGTTCTCCTCATCCACAACTCAAGACAAAAGATTGTGCTTTCAAGGTTAATCCTAAGCAGAGAACTGATCCCCTTCATAGTGCTCTCAACTCCGTCACAGCCGGGATGCTCTGTGCCCGGTCTCGGAATCGCATTGGATCGCTCAAGGAACGTCTCCTCGCTCCCATGTCGGTGCTCGTCTTGCTTTGCCCATGAAGCAGGGCATAAGAAAAAGGTGGTTCCATGATACCCTCGCTCATCTTCAAGAACAGCTCGAGATTGTGTTGGTATTTATCTGCTGTGCTCACGTCTCCTTCGTCGGTTGGTCTTTTATCGTCTGCTGCTTTCTTTCCGTTTGCTGACTCATCATCATCGGACCAATAAACATTTTCGAGGTCGTCTCGCATCGCCAAGTCCTCATACTCCTCATCTGACTTGGTGGAGTCTTCATCAACGGAACCTTCAATCTGGATAACACACATCAAGCAGAGGTATTCACTGTCCTACTTTAGCTTAGAAAAGCGATCATAAATAATGAAGAATATGCTCTGTTGCAAGAAATCTTCAGTCCCAGTGGTCATACAAGAACCATTTTTAAATAAGAAAAGAAAGTCAACCAAAGTTTTATGCTTGACATATATATATGCAAAGACAACGGTAAGAGTTCATAAAGTTTCTGGTGAAGCAATGACAGGATATTATGGTGTGCATGAAATGCACTTCTCTGTAATGACACAATTATTTGACATTTTAGATTAAAGGAACGTTCAATTGGGAAAATGAATATGACAAAATACAAATAAGGCCCGCTGCCTACCTCATCATGGATCTCCTTGTCGTCTATGTCACTAAGATCTTCATCACTGTCTTTATCATATGGGTAGTCAGCTTCTTCTTCGCTACCAGATACAAAAAATTCTTCCTTGAGCTGGAAAAAGAAAAAAAAGATTGTCATGTAGCACAATGCATGGCAAGGAGTGCATTGAGTGGATTTCTATACCAAGAAAATGTCAAACCACTTAGAAGATTAAAATAATGTTATATATGGATGCTAAGGGCAATTGGTGCATGACCAACTGTAGGATAAAGATTATTTCAAACAAAGCATTATGGTGTTAGCACAAGCCGTACCTCTTTGGCAGGTCCATCTAATGCCTTTGGGGAGCTGCAACAGGAAGAGAAGTATCTACTGCCAGTGTCAGTGCCCTCAGCCCTTGAGTCATCGATGCTCCCTGTTTGACTTGTACCACATGTATCATTTGTCCATGCACTGATCCCAAAATTTCCAAACTGAAGATTAACTGGCTCGGCCTTCCCTATCTGCAAGGGGCCATACATGGGGTTTCCCATGCATTTTTCGTTCCCATTTCGATCAAGTTTCCCATCATAATCAACCATCTCAAAAGGCCAAGCCTTGGCAACAGATCCATCTGTGTTAAGAAGTGCCATTAGATGCCTTGAGGAACCCTTACTCTGGATCAACTGCAACATTCTCTTGGAACCAAGAGAATTTGCAGCACACTGGTTTCTGTATTCTTCATGTATTACAGACACTGTATTTGTAGACGGGTCATAGAGCTGCTCTCCTGCCTCTCGCCTACGCAGACAGCCAAAAACTGTGGCATGGATAGCTGCCACACTCTGATCAACATTTGTGTTTTTTATTTTTGGAACCAGATGCTTATCTGCCCTGTTACAGAGATACTCCTGAATGGCTCTGATATTCTGGATATATTTTACATATTTATTCTTTGCTGGGTCCAGTGTCATGTATTTGGCACGCACTGCAAATCTTTCTATATGTTTGTCTTCATTTGTTATATAAATCATGAACGGTATTATTGAAGGATGCTTCTTCATGAGTCCCATCTAACCAAAAGGAAAAAAGCAGTAGAAGACATCGGTTAGAAATTAAATGTACAGAAAAAATCCAATTTATAAGTTAGCATGCAAAAATATAAATGGCTATCGGGAATTATGATTCTGAACAAACTTTCAACAGATCCAAATCAAGATATAATTAAATTGCAAGAAACATTTGTTTCAGAAAGAATAAAAAGATAATGTTAGAGAACATGTGGTGCCATTGTCAAGTACTCACCACAAAATTGAGGCTCAAGTGGACACCCTCAACGACTACAGATTCTTTTCGCTCTTCCCAAGCAGTGATGAGACGATCAAGACTGTCTATTACCATTTCACTTTGTGCTTTAAAGCCTTCAATAGCCATTTGCTTTTTGCCAATTAACTCAGTTCCAAGGACCACATCATGAGATCGGCCATCAGGTTTTACATTTAGAGTTCCATCAGATATTTCTCCCTTAACCACTGCGTGTGAAACAATAGCAAGTTTTTTTGCTTTTCGTTTAGCTTTTGCTTCTGCCACTGCTACTGGATCTAGACATTCCCCAGCATGATAAGTTGAAGCCCAAAGGAGCGGATTTTGTTCTTCATCCACATAGCTCCTCATCATATGGCGTATTGAATCAGTAGAAATGACAGTTGTCACACCCAGTCTGCTTCCCTGTTAGAAGAGCATGTAGAGACTAGAGAGCATATTCATAAAATTGAATTGTTTTTGCCTGACATTCTTCTTGTAAGATGGTCAAAATTAAGATAAGACCAAGAAGAACTATTTGCAAGAGATGCCTAGCAAGTACGAATTTAATTTTTATTGTTCAACATGTCGAAGTTGGTTTTCAATTTGGAAAGTATTGCTCAAGATAGGTTTAGTACTTTTAAGGCAGAGCATAAAGGTGACAAAAATAAGTGAATTTAATTGAATCCATGCATGTATGGAAAAATGCACTAAGTAGCCAGTGCTTTAATATTAAACTAGCTAAAAAGATTAGTGGGAATCCAGTTAAAGTGCCTAAATAAAGTAGGGGTTAAGGTTAAAAGTTCAAATTGTTTATTGAAAAAGCATACCTACAAGAAAACTCTTCTGTTCACACATAGCATCAAACATTTTCCATATAGGCATTTCAAATGTTGGAAA